AAGTCGGTTTGATGTGGCCCCGGAACAAAATGAGTTTGACACCCCTGGTCTACAGTATTTACCGGTGAGTATAACCGTGTCGTGGTGTGGATGGATTTGCTAGTTGTAACTCATTATAACTCATATTAGGGATGGCATGATTAGTCGATTAATCGATAATTGATCATTAAGAATTTCATCAATTACGTTAATTTTAATCGACAAACCGAATGTATGTTTGTGTGTCGTGACCAAACAGGTGTGTACATGTGTCTCTGCATCAGAAGGACGCGAGACACAAACAGTGGGTCAGTCTGTAACGAACCGAAGCACAAATGTGGATTTAACGATGATTTGTACAAGAAATTCCACACTTTTCCGTTGCGTTGGACAAGTGTGAGTCCATGTGCACAGTGGATAAAGCAGCACATATGTTTCTGTGTCCAGTGGGAAAAAGTTTACCAGGTGAGAGTCGCTCAATGTGGATGACGAGGCCCCGCCCCCTCCCCCGTACGCTGTCCTGGTTTTGACAAACACAAATCTGGTCACACTGACCTGTATTCACCTGAGTCGTGTCTTTTAATCCGACAGAAATTGAACCACATCAGCGAGACACAAGAGCTGGAGTTTTATCTTCACTTCAGTTTATGTAAATTAGTGATGTGGTTTTAAGTTTTGTTTCTGTGAGATTTGAACAAAACTGAATTAAACACATTATAATGTCAAACAGCTGATGTGGCTCTAGAGTCGTTACGGTTTATATGTCGTAAAGTTGAATTATTTATACAGATTAGTGCAGATAGTAATAATAATGATGATCATTTTAATATAAAAAATGTTAATGATTAATCGATAATCGATCGTTAATTCTTCTCGACGATCGATTAAGAAAATTTCATCGAATGCCCGTCCCTAACTCATATATAACCCAGTGTTATGAGTTTCATGCGAGAAATGCAGCTGAGATGAAGGTTAAGACTGACTGATGCTCGCTGTGGCTGTGGCCGTGAATGTTTTAATCTAAACATGCAGAGAATCTGATATTTGCTGATTCACCCTGGGATAACGTTACGTCTGATATCGCCAACTGGCTCCACTATGTTTCTACTAAGTCTATGTTCAGACTGCAGGGCTTAATGCTCATTCTGATTTTTTTGGTGAAATCCGATGTTTTTTCGAGGTCGTTCACATTTCCAATTTAAATGTGACTTGTATGTGACTCCAGTGTGAACGTTAAACGGCTCCAAAGTGTCCCACATGTGACACTGGAGACACGACGACGTCAACCGCAGCGAGCGTCTCTGTGTTTACAGAAGTTGTCCAAACATGGACGCAGCATCGAGCACCTGGAGATTTTAAAGTTCCTCTCGTACCGGAGCCAGAACATGAACAACTTACTTGTTTTAAGGAGGAGATTGAGAAGGAGAAGGACGAGGTTTTTGGTCGTTGTGTTTTGTGGTTCAGTCCGTTGAAAGGAACGTGTGGATGTGGAGACGGAGCCAAGAGTGGTGAGTGGAGATGTGCTTCACTTCAGTGACATGGAGTTCATTAACAATTTTTCACCTACTTCAGTGCAGAATAGTGACGTTTGTGTCTTGTTGATAACGTGTAGGTGGATGAATGCACTTTGGCCGTTCAGACTGAAGTCACATGTCAAAAGATCAGATATGTATCAGTTTCAGGAGCACATATCCAAGTGTCCTGGGTCACATTTGAAAAAATCAGGATCTGTGTGGTTCAGACTGTCATTAAAAGATCAGATACAGGAACATAGAGACAAAAAATCAGATTTGGGTCACTTCAGGCTGCAGACTGATATCGGTGCAGTTTCCTTTCAGAGGAGGTGTTTCTACACAATATCACACAGCAGCGTTCGGTTCCCGAATTCAATGTGGCAAGACAAGACATTTTTACAATAAATTTGAGTTCTCCCACTTGTTGTTCTTCTGTTGTAGCTCCTTGTTGTGTCATTACTCTGTTTTTACTCTGCTACAAACTTAAACCTGCTCAGTCTTGATCATGATCGATGTTTCTTCTGCTCGATAAATAATGTCTGTGAAGTGACGATGTATTTTTGACAGTAAAGTTGCGTCTGTGAATTCGTATTCGTACTGATGAAAGTGTTATCGTAAACTTTAATTTTGTAATTGTAATTCTTGACGTCGTAACTTTTCAGTTCGTATTCTGATGGATAAAATACACACAATATATTTTATGTACGACTGGAATCATTTGAGAGTTTACAAATATTTATTTTATGCGCAACTACAGACAAATATGCATGGATTTCTTTTCTATGCACACGAATATTTTTTAAAGCTTTCTTACTCCATAAATTTTATTATTACCAACCACCACAAACCAGGAGTGTCCCAGTTTTTTATTTTGAAATTCTGGTCACCCTAAATTTATCATCATCATTACTACACGGCAAAAAACAAAATCTAGTCAAGTTAAGATGATTTGAATTAAGAAAGTTTTATCACGATTTGAGTAAATTTCACTTAAGGAGTAAAATGATCTGCCAGTGGAAGAAGACTTTTTGTACTTAAAATAAGAAAATACATCTGGCTACACTTAAAATAAGAAACAAAATTGAATGTTTGTGGAATTAAGAAAAACACACTCGTTCCACTGGTCGAAAATTTTACTCCTCAAGTTGAATCGACTCAAATAAAGTCAAATATTCTTAATTTAAGTCATTTTAACTTACACAGATATTGTTTGTTTTTTTTCAGAGCATGTTTTCCTTTTAATTTAGAAAAATAACTGTACCAGATGAGGATCAGCTCTTCCAAGTCCGACGTCGAGGTTCTCGATCAGAAAAAGGCGTCTTGTCCTCTCCAGGTGGGTGGAGAGTCTCTGCCTCAAGTGGAGGAGTTCAAGTATCTCGGAGTCTTGTTCTCGAGGACAGAGCGTGAGATTGACAGGTGGACAGGTGCAGCGTTGGCAGTGATGCGGTCGCTGTATCAGACCGTTGTGGTGAAGAGGAGCTGAGCTGAAAGGTGAAGCTCTCGATTTACCGTCAGTCTCTGTTCCTCCCCTCACCTCTGGTCATGAGCTCTGGGTAATGACTGAAAGGACGAGATCGACGATACAAGCGGCACAAATGAGTTTCCTCCGCAGGGTGTCTGGGTGCTCCCTGAGAGATAGAGTGAGGAGCTCAGTCACACAGGAGGAGCTCGGAGTAGAGCCGCTGCTCCTCCACGTCGAGAGGAGCAGCTGAGGCTCGGGCATCTGTTCTGATGTCTCCTGGGCGCCTCCCTCAGGAGGTGTTCATGTCCCACCAGGAGGAGGCCCTGGGGAAGACCCAAGACTCGCTGGAGGGACTATGTCTCTGGGCTGGTTCCCCTGGAGGAGCTGGAGGACATGTCTAGGGTGAAGGAAGTCTGGAAAATGGATGGATGGAACTGTATCAGAATAAAGTTATTTATTCTGAGTATTGTAATCGGTTTGTTTGTTTTGGGTACATGCATTTAGTTTGACTATTTCCCTGCAGACGTGGGACAAAGTCGTTGTTTTGCAAGTCTCAAGTAAGTTTCAAGTTTTTGACCTCAAGTCCGAGTCAAGTCCGAGTCAAGTCCCAAGTCGAAGACAGGCAAGTGAAGTCAAGTCTCGAGTCACTGGCCCATAAGTCCAAGTCAAGTCCAAGTCGTTTGCTTTGAGCTTCAAGTCATTTCAAGTCTTTAAACCAAAGTAGCTCAGATTTTTACAAGTTACATCATTATTCATGAACCTCCCTCCACATCGTGAGCTTTCCCACGATATCGCAATAAATATCGTACTGTGAGGTTCATACTGTGACGATATCGTATCATGAGACTTGGATATCGTTACACCCCCTAATATTTATAACAGAGTATTTATATAAGAGTTGTAGAAATTTAATTTTTTCCTTTTGAAATGTCTTGACAAGGTCTTAGTGTGAATCATTATGGTAAGAATAAAAATAATTCATATTTAAAAGTGCTTCTCAAGTCTGAGTCAAGTCGCAAGTCAAATACAGGCAAGTCCAAGTCAAGTCTCGAGTCACTGGCCCATAAGTCCCAGTCAAGTCCAAGTCATCTGCTTTGAACTTCAAGTCATTTCAAGTCTTTAAACCAAAGTAACAAATATAGCTTTGATTTTTGCAGTTTATCTGAATTTTAAGATAAATTTAACTTTAAAAAATCATAGTATTTTTATATATGAGTATTTATAGAGTATGTAAGAGTTGTAGAAATGTAAATTTTTCTTTTTTAAATGTCTTGACAAGATCTAAGAGTGAATCATTACGGTCAGAACAGAAAGAATTCAGATTTAAAAGTGCTTCTCAAGTCTGAGTCAAGTCACAGGCCTCAAGTCCGAGTCAAGTTTCCAAGTTAGTGAGTTTCAAGTCCAAGTCGAGTCCCAAGTCAAATACAAGCAAGTCCAGGTCGAGTCTCGAGTCACTGGCCCATAAATCCAAGTCAAGTCCATGTTGTCTGCTTTGAGCTTCAACTTATTTCAAGTCTCTAAACCAAAGTACCAAAGATTTTTGCAATTTAAATGAATTTTAAGATAAATTGAACTTTAAAAAATCATAGTATTTTTATATAAATTTATATGTGTATTTAAATAAGAGTTGTTTGTGATTTTTTTTCCTTTTTAAATGTCTTGACAAGATCTTAAGAGTGCATCATTACGGTAAGAATAAAAAGAATTCAGATTTAAAAAGTTTTTCTCAAGTCCAAGTCAAGTCCCAAGTCTTAAAAATTGTGACTCAAGTCTGACTCGAGTCCAAACCCCCACCTCTGTTTCCCAGCATTGTTTATGATAATGTCAGCTTGTGTCGGTGTGTGTCGGATGCCCTCCCGGCCCTGGCACGTGGGCGGGTGAAGCGCGGTCACTCACTGGTCACTGCCCTCCGCTGCCCTCCGCCGCCCGCACGCGCTCTTCTCTACGTCACTCCGGGAACACCGAGGCCGAGGCATGGTTATAAAAGCGGGCTCCGGGACTCCCGTGCGCACACCGGGGCTGTCGGGACTCCTCAGGCCGGAGACATGCAGCTGCGGACGGCTTTGACATCCGCCCTGCTCCTGCGCGCCGCCTCCCTGCTGCACGGTAACTACGCGCTCTAGGCACAATATGAGCGAAAAATAATAATAATACGCGGTTTAAGCTTCAAACTGTGTCAATTTAAACGTTTTTCAAGGCAGGGAAGATGAAAATAATTGATGTTTTGTGTTTCAGCTGCAAAATGGAGCTATTCTGGTGAGTCAACGTTTTTTTTTTCCGCAACTTTTCTAGTCCATAAACATATATAATTGTAGATCTCGCATCGACTATTAAAACTTTTTTAAATTAGAGTTTTATTATAGTTTATTTTATTATAGTTTGTTATGGTAATTTTTTTCATTACAGTTTATTTTTTATTGTAGATTTTTTTGGATTATAATTTATTTATTTAGATTTTATTATAGCTCAACGGAACGAATGCGTCAACAAAGCCGCCATCTTGGTACAGGAGTAACGCTGCTTTAAAGTCCGAGATTAGTCCTGTTTTAGACCTGGTTTAGTCCTGGTTTAGTTCTGGTTTTGGTCCTGGTTTAGTCCTGGTTTAGACCTGGTTTAGTCCTGGTTTATGACCTGGTTTAGACCTGGTTTAGACCTGGTTAAGTCCTTGTTTAGTCCTGGTTTAGTCCTGGTTTAGACCTGGTTTAGACCTGGTTTAGTCCTAGTTAAGTCCTGCTTTAGTCCTGGTTCAGTCCTGTTTCAGTCCTGGTTCAGTCCTGGTTTACACCTGGTTTACACCTGGTTTAGACCTGGTTTAGACCTGGTTTAGTCCTGGTTCAGTCCTGGTTCAGTCCTGGTTTAGTCCTTTTTTAGTCCTGATTTAGTCCTGGTTCAGTCCTGGTTTAGTCCTTTTTTAGTCCTGATTTAGACCTGGTTTAGTCCTGGTTCAGTCCTGGTTTAGACCTGGTTTAGACCTGGTTTAGACCTGGTTCAGTCCTGTTTTAGTCCTGTTTTAGTCCTGGTTTAGACCTGGTTTCAGTCCTGGTTTAGACCTGTTTTAGTCCTGGTTTTAGTCTGGTTTAGTCCTGGTTTAGACCTGTTTTAGTCCTGGTTTAGACCTGGTTTAGACGTGGTGCAGTCCTGTTTTAGTCCTGGTTCTGTTCTGGTTTAGTCCTGGTTTAGACCTGGTTCAGTCCTGTTTTAATCCTGGTTTAGTCCTGGTTTAGACCTGGTTCAGTCCTGTTTTAATCCTGGTTTAGTCCTGGTTTAGTCCTGGTTTAGACCTGGTTCAGTCCTGTTTTAGTCCTGGTTTTAGTCCTGGTTTAGACTTGTTTTACCTGTTTAGTCCTGGTTTAGTCCTGGTTTGTTTAGTCCTGGTTTTAGTCCTGGTTTAGTCCTGGTTTAGACCTGTTTTAGTCCTGTTTAGTAGTCCTGTGTTTAGTCCTGGTTTAGTCCTGTTTAGTCCTTTAGTCCTGGTTTAATCTTGGTTTTAGTCCTGGTTTAGTCCTGGTTTAGTCGCCTTTGTTTTGTTGAAATAATGTTTAAAATCACAGTAAAAGTAAAAGTTTTTCTTATGACACTTTTGAGACTTTTATTTTTTAGACTCGATTTCCTGTACATTTTAACCTATTTTTAATTTTATTTTAAACTTTTATTTTTCATCTTGATTTGTGTAAAAATGCTGATTTGTTTGCAGGTTTGGACGGGGAGCAGCACTGGTCCAGACTCTTCCCGTTCTGTGGTGGAGTTTTCCAGTCGCCGATTCACATCAGCTCCGACCTGCTCCGGTTTGACCCCACGCTGCCCCCCGTCCAGCTCCACAACTACCACCTGCCCCCCACCCAGCAGCTCACCCTGGGCAACAACGGGCACTCAGGTGGGCACCACACAGACGGGGCAGAAAGAGAGAGACAGAGGGGGCAGAAAGAGACAGAGGGGGCAGAAAGAGACAGAGAGACAGAGGGGGCAGAAAGAGAGAGACAGAGGGGGCAGAAAGAGACAGAGGGGGCAGAAAGAGAGAGACAGAGGGGGCAGAAAGAGACAGAGAGACAGAGGGGGCAGAAGAGAGAGAGACAGAGGGGGCAGAAAGAGACAGAGGGGCAGAAAGAGAGAGACAGAGGGGGCAGAAAGAGAGAGACAGAGGGGGGAGAGAGGGAGAGAGACAGAGGGGCAGAAAGAGAGAGACAGAGGGGGCAGAAGAGAGAGAGACAGAGGGGCAGAAAGAGACAGAGGGGGGACAGAAGAGAGACAGAGGGGGCCAGAAAGAGAGAGAGAGAGACAGAGGGCAGAAAGAGAGAGAGACAGAGGGGCAGAAAGAGACAGAGGGGGAAGAAGAGAGAGACAGAGGGGGCAGAAAGAGAGAGAGGGGCAGAAAGAGACAGAGGGGGCAGAAAGAGACAGAGAGAGAAGGGGTAGAAAGAGACAGAGAGAGAAGGGAGACAGAGGAGAAAGAGAGAGAGAGACAGAGGGGCAGAGAGAGAGAGAGAGAGGCAGAAAGAAAGAGAGAGAAGAGGGCAGAAAGAGACAGAGGGGCAGAAAGAGAGAGAGACAGAGGGGAGAAAGAGAGAGAGAGAGACAAAGGGGGCAGAAGAGAGAGACAGAGGGGGTAGAAAGAGAGAGAGGGGGTAGAAAGAGAGAGAGAGGGGCAGAAAGAGAGAGAGAGAAAGAGGGAGGAGCAGAGAGACAGAGAGAGAAGAGAGTAGAAGAGAGAGAGAGAGAAGAGAGAGACAGAGAGAGAGCGAGACAGAGGGGGTAGAAAGAGAAGAGAGAGAGAGAGAGAGAGAGAGGGGGCAGAAAGAGAGAGAGAGAGAAGAGAGGGGGTAGAAAGAGAGAGAGAGAGAGAGGAGAAGAGAGACAGAGAGAGAGAGAGGAGTAGAGAAGAGAAGAGAGAGACAGAGAGACAGAAGAGAGAGAGAGAGGGGTAGAAGAGAAAGAGTACAGTGATAATAATATTTCTTTATTCTTTTAGTATTCTAACAGTAGTAGTAGTAGTAGTAGTAGTAGTAGTAGTAGTAGTAGTAGTAGTAGTAGTAGTAGTAGTAGTAGTAGTAGTAGTAGTAGTAGTAGTAGTAGTAGTAGTAGTAGTAGTAGTAGTAGTAGTAGTAGTAGTAGTAGTAGAAATAACCCACAAAAGTGCAGAAGTATAAATTTATTTCCTTATTTGGAAGTTTACAATGTAAGTTTTTTTGGAACAGACAAGAATAATACAGGTATAATCCCCAAAAAACTGACATAATTTTAAAAGCAATTATCTTGAAAACCGCTAAGTCAAGCTCAGTGACGATGCTGATGTTGGTCTACCAGATCTTTTATCCTACATAAGCAGACTTCATCTTTAAACTTTTTGTACCAAGTCCAAATTTCTTTCCCAGTGGGTGAAGTTGTTCCAGATTTTGCACTGAAGCTGCTCAGTCTTGGGTTTGTGACTGAGCAGCAGATTCCAAAACACAAAATGATTTCTCTTTGGGAGTGTGAACAACAACAACAAAAACCAGGTCTAAACCAGGTCTAAAACAGGTCTAAAACCAGGTCTAAAACAGGTCTAAAACCAGGTCTAAACCAGATCTAAACCAGGTCTAAAACCAGGTCTAAACCAGGTCTAAATCAGGTTTAAAACCAGGTCTAAACCAGGTCTAAAACCAGGTTTAAACCAGGACTAAAACCAGGTCTAAACCAGGACTAAAACCAGGTCTAAACCAGGACTAAAACCAGGTCTAAACCAGGACTAAAACCAGGTCTAAATCCAGGTTTAAACCAGGACTAAAACCAGGTCTAAACCAGGACTAAACCAGGACTAAAACCAGGTCTAAACCAGGACTAAAACCAGGTCTAAACCAGGTCTAAACCAGGTTTAAATCCAGGTTTAAACCAGGACTAAAACCAGGTCTAAACCAGGACTAAAACCAGGTCTAAACCAGGACTAAAACCAGGTCTAAACCAGGTCTAAACCAGGTTTAAATCCAGGTTTAAACCAGGACTAAAACCAGGACTAAACCCAGGTCTAAACCAGGACTAAAACCAGGTCTAAACCAGGACTAAAACCAGGTCTAAACCAGGACTAAAACCAGGTCTAAACCAGGACTAAAACCAGGTCTAAACCAGGACTAAAACCAGGACTAAACCAGGATCAAACAGGATTTAACAGGACTAAACCGTGTCTCCTCGTCTTCTATCAATAATATTTTTAATTTGGTTCAGTAAAGTCTGGACTTTTTATTTTCTTTTAACAGACAAAACTTCTTATGTTACGATTTCCTCGTCTTTGCTTTCTCTACAGCAAATCAAGTAATCCAAAGTATTCAGATTACATTACTCACTTTAAGTAACTTAATGGAATTCTGTTACAAACTACATTTTGGTGTATGTAATCTGTAATCTGTAGGGGATTACATTTTAAAAGTCACCTTCCCGACACTGTCAAGACTGAATACTGATTGTCCAAAAAGATGTGAGGCTGATTCCTAAAAAAGTGTAAATATCGGTGAAGAGATACATCAGTCTGCAGTAGCTCTAATATCTTCAAAATAATTCACAGTATTTTATCTAGTTTACTCAGTTCCGTTTACTTTTTTTTTTTTTTTATGTGACTAAAAGTTCTCATAGTTTATTGCATGTGTAGAATAATCTGATAATATCATCAAATCAGTTTCTTGTGTGAGTGAAAACCCCCGTGAGGACCTGTCATTGTACCAGAATATCAAACGCAAACCAACAACACTCTCCTCAAGCTCAGGGCCCAGGCTTTTATTCAGAGAGAGCCGCTACAAATCTGAGCTCACACGGACATTACAAAAGCCCGAATTAAATATGAAGGACGCTTTTTTTCACTTGAGATCTAAATTATGGGTGGACCTGCAGAAAATGACTCGGGATCATCCTGCAGTTTACCAAAGCGGCTCTGGTCTCTGTTTACCGAAGCGTTTATCCTCCGACACTGTCTTATTACACAGCCCCGTCCTGACCAGAGCTCACGGCTCCACTGCGCTCAATAATCCACACAAACATTAGTCGACACTTTTGAAACTCTCGGCCGTCTGTGCGCAGCGGAGTGACGCGTGCGGATCACGCGGGGCGACGAGAGCGCACTCGTGATGATAGTGACAGTGGAGGCTTCTGGAGCAGACCGGTGCTTATGAGAGCGAGTGGACGTCAGCTCTGCACTCGCTGACTCAGGAGATGACGTTCAGTCTCACGTCACTGCTGATCGAGAGTCCTCCACCTGCCGTCTGCATCAAGTGGTTATACACGCATCAAGAATCTCAGGACTTCCGGTCATTGCGCAATTCATACTGGGAAGGATTTTCCGAAAAAGTCAACATCAAACCTCCATGTTTGTTTTCCCAGTGGGATGTGTCTATTGTCAAAGTCGATCTTTTCAAGTCTTTTGAACCATATCACTTTTGTTTCTGGTTCTGATATTGTCATATTTTAGTTTTGGGATTCGGACGTCGTAATTGTGTGGTTGTTGGATCCTAACAGCGGAAAACGGTTCGAGAAATTTGTTTGCGAACTCCATAAATGTAAAAAGTGAATCAGATGTGTGTGACTCAAACCTCTGTTCAAACTGTTTCTCTTCCCAACGGGATTGAAAAATAGTGAAAGGTGAAGGTGATGGGCAGGATTGATCCACAGGAAGAACCAAAAAGGTAATCTTTGACTGCCTAAATCATCCCAAGTTTACAGAGAACATTTGGTATGTGGAGCGGCGACAAAGCAAAATCCCGATCCCTCGCTCAGTCTTGGTTACGAATTTAAAAAGTCAACACCAAAACGAGAGGCACCAACTGTTCACCAAGAAACACCTTCCACTGCAAAGAGACCAAGACGTGATGTTGCTGTAAAACCACAAGAACAAGAAAGTGCAGCTCAGTCTGTTTGTCTTCTGCTCCTCTACATTAACAAACGGGATCCCGCTTTGATGTCGCTCCACATACAAAATGTTCGCTGCAAACTCGGGATGATTTAGTCAGTCAAATGTTTCCTTTTTGGTTCTTCCCGTGGATCAATCCTGCCCATCACCTTCACCTTTCACTATTTTTCAATTCCAATGGGAAGGGAAATAGTTTGAACAGAGGTTTGAGTCACACACATCTGATTCACTTTTGCATTTATGGAGTTCGCAAACCAATTTCTCGAGCCGTTTTCCGCTGTTAGGATCCAACAACCACACAATTAACAAAGTCCGAATCCCAAAACTAAAATATGACAATATCAGAACAAGAAAGAAAAGTGATATGGTTCAAAAGACTTGAAAAGATCGACTTTGACAATAGACACATCCCACTGGGAAAACAAACATGGAGGTTTGATGCTCACTTTTTCTGAGGATCCTTCCCAGTGTGAATTGCGCAATGACCGAAGTCTGAAATTCTTGATGCGTGAATTGGCCCACATTACCTTGCATCAATTAAAAATGAACTTTTTACTGCAAGTTTTTTGAAAATCTACCTTAATAAAGCTAATATTTAATATTTAGTGTGTGGTTTTAAGGATCTTAGCGTGAATAAAGACTAAAGGCTCATTCAGCCCTCTGCTTCATCTGTGTTTAGATATGTGGGCCTGGTTTGGACACCCCTGGTCTAGACCAGCGATGGGCAACACTTATTTCTATGGGGCCACATGAGAAATAGAAAATATTGTGGAGGCCAAAATGCTGAACTCAAATCTGCATAATATTAATTGTATTTCTTTATTTAAAAAAAAAAAAAGCAGTAATTATCATTGTTTTGATGAGCTGCTCAGACTGGGAAGAATTTGTCATAAATAAGCAATGAAAAAGTGAGGCTGCCTTACAAAAAATATAATAAAAAACAGCTCTAAAATAAAAAGCAATGGAGCTTTAGTCCAAGCATGAGGTAAAATGATCTAATATGTTTATTTTGTGATTGCAAATGGGCTTAAACAGGTCGGTCAGAGTCGACTAAAGGGCCGGATGTGGCCTGGAGCTGAACAAGGCCCAGGTCTAGAATGTTCCACAGTCTGAAGATGAGTGTCACACTGCTCCAGACACACTGCTCATTACTCAAGATTTAAAGTTACCATCGATTCTTTTTCACCAGTAGAGGGCAGATGTGAGGCCTGTTCCCCTCACCTGGCCTCAGTTCAGACTCACCTGGGGCTCTTCTTCCTTCTCTTTGCATTAAGTTCTGCTCGTTTCTGTGGAGCAGATCTCTGTCTGAGGGAGAGGGGCTGATGAAACCCTGCACCACGAGAGAGGTGTGTGACCTGGTGTAACACCAGAGAGCGCTCCACATGAAACACACACCAAACAAGTTTAGTTCTGTATTTATTTAGAAAGTGCGTCATAATTTAGACATTTCTAATTACGATCTAATTACAGATAATATCTCTAACTCATATTTACGCACCTTTTTGGATTTAAGTGAACATGAAAATGATCTTTTTCCGTTCAGGAGACATCAAAACAGATGTTCTCTTGACGTGGAGGAGCAGCGGCTCTACTCTGAGCTCCTCCCGTGTGACTGAGCTCCTCACTCTGTCTCTAAGGGAGACGCCCAGACACCCTGCGGAGGAAACTCATTTCGGCCTCTTGTATCAGCGATCTCGTCCTTTCGGTCATTACACAGAGCTCATGACCAGAGGTGAGGGGAGGAATAAAGATTGATATACATACAGCGACAGCATCACTCCCGACGCAGCAGCGATTCGCCGATCTTTTTTGTCCTCATTTTGATTGATCAGATTTTTAGATTTTATTTTGTCATTTTATTTTATTTTTTATAATTTTTATTTTTTTAATTTTTTCAATTATACAGAACAAAATAAAGCAAAACAGAAAAAAACAAACACAGAGGAGAAGAGTGCCGTTACAGTCGTTCAATGAAATATCAATCAAGATGTATGTGAGCTATTCATTTTCAAATAAAGTCTGATCTGACAGGTTTCACATACTCACATAGTCCATTTCGTCCATGTTTCATAAAATAAGTCCCTTTGGTTCTGGAGGGTGAAAGACAGCTTTTCCATCACATAAATCTCAAAAACTATTTCTATCCACTCCTCTATCGATGGAGGATCCGCCCTCAGCCATTTTCTTGTCATGGCTTTTTTGCTCGCTACAAGTAGGATTGCTCATAACTTTTTATCATCGTTTCTCCAATTCTGGACATTAAAGGTTGTATAGAGGATTTTCCAAGGAACGAGAAATCCAGCGACTGTTTGTCCTTTTTCAAATGTTGCGCATGCGTGAAACCACCTCCCCTCCCCTACAGCTCCTACGTAGAAACGCCTCCTCCCTCCTCCTCCTTACGCCAGAAACAGGTTTGTTTACAGCCGCTGCACATGACTTGTAAACAACTAACTACAGTGTTGGTTAGGCAAGACGGAGAAGTGAGGAGCGGGGAGAAGAGCGGAGCAGGGAGCAGGGAGAGGAGAGAGGAGAGGGGAGCGGTGCGCGGAGATTCCGTGCCCGGAGAAGTGAGGAGCAGGGAGAAGAGCGGATCGGGCAGCGGGGACAGGAGCAGGAAAGGGGTGCAGAGAAGAGTGCGCGGAGATTCCGTGCGAATGAACTAACTACAACACGCAGCAGCAAGCGGACTCTTTCTTTGCCTTGAAAATTACGTTTTCAGACATAGGATATCGCTTTCGTGTCCTGAAAAACGTTTGTCTTGCTCTTGGAAATAAAGTACGTTTTCATGAATAAGCAGAAGTTTCCTGTCCAGGAGTAATTTGTGGACCAGTGGTTCAGTCTTTAGACCCTGCGTCTGCTTCAGTCGCGCCATCGCTGGAATGAATCTCCAAGAATCACCTTAGTTTGGCTTCGCTGCTTTTCCCCTTGTCTTCTTCTTTCATCGACCTCAAAAACTGACTTTCTTTTGCGGCGAACTGCTCCTGGATTCTTGTCGCCATTGCAACAAAACTTTGTGCGAACTGCAAGGAAGATATAGGTCAAAAAAAGCCGCTAAGAACTGTTGCGTTGGTGGAGTAAACAGCGTCTGTGCGTCTTGCGTCTGTGGACTGTGTGACAGTCGTACATAAACCACGTACCGGCGTCAGTTACGCGTCAGTTACACTAGAAACGTAGGGAGTTTGATTGACAGCCTGTCAGCTCACAGATAACGAGGCAGTGTCGTTATCTATTGGCAAATGTTTAGCCCCACCACGTCCAGAGTTGATGAATTTTTATTCTCTTTTTTTTGGTCATCATAATTACAAGGCTACTGCATCTATAATCTATCATTGACAATATGAAACAAAAAAAATCCTCCATACAACCTTTAACATCTCCCAAGTATAAACACTCAAAGCTAAACATCAATTTAGATCCAAAAACATGGTTTATATGACTCCAAATCTGTGTCCAATAAAATTTCAGAACATTGCAATCCTAAAAAATATGACAGTGGTTCGCCCCCGATGAGCCACAGAGTCTCCTATTTTGTCATTTTAAAAACAAAGACACTTTCATATCAGTTTTCTGCCCTAACCTATACAGACTTAAACCGCTGCGTTATTATTGGTGCGTATTGGACTAAACTTCTGTTCCTTCTCCACAGTCCAGATCTCTCTTCCTTCTCGGATGTACATCTCCAGTCTGCCTCACCGGTACACGGCCGCTCAGCTCCACTTCCACTGGGGCTCGGCCGCTCGACCGCTGGGATCCGAGCACATGGTCAATAACAAACAGTACGCAGGAGAGGTAAGGAACACACAAAAACATACACCTGATGGGAACGGTTCACACTTAAAGCCACATTGTGTAACTTTTCTGGTGGAGGGTCTGTCGAAAGCTTTTCTCCATGGAGATGTTACTGTTTTGTCTGGAATGTTTCTCAGTATGGCTTTAAACATTTCTATCTTCATGGAGACCAAACCAGACCAAGTTACAGGTCAGATTGAGGTTTAGTCCTGGTTTAGAAATGGTTTAGACCCGGTTTAGACCTTGTTTGGTTCTGATTTAGATCTGGTTTAGTCCTGGTTTAGACCTGGTTTAGTCCTGGTTTAGTCCCGGTTTAGACCTGGTTTAGACCTGGTTTAGTCCTGGTTTAGACCTGGTTTAGACCTGGTTTAGTCCTGATTTAGACCTGGTTTAGTCCTGTTTTAGACCTGGTTTAGTCCTGATTTAGTCCTGGTTTAGACCTGGTTTATTCCCGGTTTAGACCTGGTTTAGAACTGGTTTAAACCTGGTTTAGACCTTGTTTGGACCTAGTTTAGACCTGGTTTAGTCCCGGTTTAGTCCCAGTTTAGTCCCAGTTTAGACCTGGTTTAGACCTGGTTTAGTCCTGGTTTAGTCCCGATTTAATCCCGGTTTAGTCCTGGTTTAGACCTGGTTTAGATCTTGTTTGGTTCTGGTTTAGTCCTGGTTTATTCCCGGTTTCAGTCCTGGTTTAGTCCTGGTTTAGTCCTGGTTTAGACCTGGTTTAGACCTGGTTTATTGCTTTGTCTGGAATGTTTCACAGTGTGGCCTCTTGTTTGGAGACCAAACCAGACCAAGTTACGGGTCAGATCTGTGGAGAGGCGACGCCGCTCACAGTCAGAATGTCTGTTTTTCTGGGTATTTTTGAGCTTTAAAACCACCTGTAATTAAATAAATATAAAGTCAAGCTGTTTAATGTCACACTGCGGAACATTCCAGACAGAACAATGACGTATCCAAAGAAATAAGCAGGTGTCGGACTCCAAACCGGATATTTTAGTAATTTTTTCTGAAACCATGAGTTAGAAAAAGCTCGATTTTGCAGCTTTGCGAGACACATTAAAAAGTAATTTGGACGAATCTCTGTTTGTGTTTGTTTGTTTGAGTTTTGCTCCGAGTCCTGACAAACCAAACCGACTCTTGGACTCACTTCAGAAACTTTCTGATGCTCGTCTTTCTTCATCAAAACAAAAGTGACACGTTGATCAAACTAAACAAGCGTAATAAGAGCCAATAAACCAGAGTGTGACATTACAGGACCAAAATAATCTGATGTTTATGTTGTGTATCAGAGGAGTTTGTTTAAAAATGGAGATTCCTTTGTTTGTGACCAAGTTACAGGTCAGACTGAGATTTAGACCTGGTTTAGACCTGGTTTAGTCCTGGTTTATTTTGGTTTAGTCCTGGTTTAGACCTGATTTAGACCTGGTTTAGACCTGGTTTAGTCCTGGTTTATTCTGGTTTAGTCCTGGTTTAGACCTGGTTTAATCCTGGTTTAGTCCTGATTTAGTCCTGGTTTAATCCTGGTTTATTCTGGTTTAGTCCCGGTTTAGTCCTGGTTTAGTCCTGGTTTATTCTGGTTTAGTCCTGGTTTAGACCTGGTTTATTCTGTTTTAGACCTGGTTTATTCTGGTTTATTCTGTTTAGTCCTGGTTTAGTCCTGGTTTAGACCTGATTTAGTCCTGGTTTATTCTGGTTTATTCTGGTTTAGTCCTGGTTTAGACCTGGTTTATTCTGGTTTCGTCCTGGTTTATTCTGGTTTATTCTGGTTTAGTCCTGGTTTAGTCCTGGTTTATTCTGGTTTATTCTGGTTTAGTCCCGGTTTAGTCCTGGTTTAGTCCTGGTTTATTCTGGTTTAGTCCCGGTTTAGACTTGGTATATTGTTTGTCTGAAATGTTCCACAGTAGGGCATTAAACCTTAAGAGCCAGTAAACCAGAGTGTGACATTACGGGACCAAAATAATCTGGTGTTTGTATTGTGTATCAGAGGAGTTTGTTTAAAAATGGAGATTCCTTTGTTTGCTCCTCGTGCCTCTGTGTCTCCGGGAGCTGTGGTTTGGGGATTAAAAGAGGATAGATACGATTATACACTGGGCTCCACCACCTCTCAGGGGAGTGGCCGTCTGCTGCCTCTGCCCCGTAAGCACTTTTCTCACACCAGTTTGCGCTTTTGTCTCCCGTCTCTCCCCAGATACTGAAATTAAAAAAACCTGTATTATTACTCTGTTTTCTGATCTCTGTTATAATGTAGTTTCCTCATCACAAACAGACCTGGAGTTGTGTTTTTGTTTTGACCAGATTTTATTCTTTAATTCTACACTTGGACACACCCAGGTTGGGATGGTTGGTATAAATAAATATTTTTTTGCTTTATCATCATTCACAAACATGGATTTATGTGTTTTGGCGAAACAAATGACAGTTTATGCTCCTCTTTACTGTTGGCCCCGATTCAGATTAGTCAAAAATTGTGATAGTCCTGACTAGTGATGGGCATTCGATGACATTTTCTTAATCGATCGTCAGAAGAATTAATGATCGATTATCGATTAATCATTAACGTTTTTATATTAAAATGATCATCATTATTATTACTATCTGCACTAATCTGCATAAATAAATTCAACTTTACGACATATAAACATAACGACTCTAGAGCCACATCAGATGTTTGACATTATAATGTGTTTAATTCATTTTTGTTCAAATCTCACAGAAACGAAACTTAAAACCACATCACTAATTTGCATAAACTAAGTGAAGATAAAACTCCAGCTCTTGTGTCCCTGATGTGGTTCAACTTGTGTTGGATTAAAAGACATGACTCAGGTGAATACAGGTCAGTGTGACCAGATTTGTGTTTGTCAAAACCAGGACAGCGTACGGGGGGAGGGGGGCGGGGCCTCGTCATCCACATTGAGCGACTCTCACCTGGAAAAACTTTTTCCCACTGGACACAGAAACATATGTGCTGCTTTATACACTGTGCACATGGACTCACACTTGTCCCAACGCAACGGAAAGTGTGGAATTTCTTGTACAAATCATCGTTAAATCCACATTTGTGCTTCGGTTCGTTACAGACTGACCCACTGTTTGTGTCTCGCTCCTTCTGATGCAGAGACACATGTACACACCTGTTTGGTCACACTACACACAACAACCTACATTCGGTTTGTCGATTAAAATTAACGTAATCGATGAAATTCTTAATGATCAATTATCGATTAATCAGCACTGGGGCGGTTTGACCCAAGTGTGAAGCGGCTGGGATGAGAATCAGCTCTTCTAAGTCTGAGGTCATGGTTCTTGACTGGAAAAACGGCGTCTTGTCGTCTCCGGGTGGGTGGAGAGTCTCTGCCTCAAGTGGAGGAGTTCAAGTATCTCGGGGTCTTGTTCTCGAGTGAGGGGAGGGAGGATGGAGAGTGAGATTGACAGGTGGATCGGTGCAGCGTCTGCAGTGATGCGGTCGCTGTATCGGACCTTTGTGGTGAAGAGGAGCTGAGTCGAAAGGCGAAGCTCTCGATTTACCGTCAGTCTTCGTTCCTCCCCTCACCTCTGGTCATGAGTTTCCTCTGCAGGGTGTCTGGGCGCTCTCTTAAAGACAGAGTGAGGAGCTCAGTCACACGGGAGGAGCTTGGAGTAGAGCCGCTGCTCCTCCACATCGAGAGGAGCAGCTGAGGGGAGGACATCTGTTCTGATGTCTCCTGGGCGCCTCCCTCAGGAGGTGTTCATGTCCCAACAGGGTGGAGGGCTCGGGTTAAGATCTCAGACACGCTGGAGGGACTATGTCTCTGGACTGGCCTGGGAACACCTTGGGGTCCCACTGGAAGAGCTGGAGGACGTGTCTGGGAGTTTGGGAGTCCCTGTTAGACTGATGCCCTGTGACCCGGCCTCAAATAAACGGAAGAAGATGGAGGGATGGATGCCTCTCTTTACTGTTGGCAGGGATCAGATTGGTCAAAAATTGTGACAAATTGTGGTTTAGTCCTCGTTTAGTCTTAGTTTAGTCCTGGTTTAGATCAAAGTGCTCAAAAATAGGGACACTTGGGACATTTCTTGTATAAACTGTGACAAATGAGTGGTTTTGTATAAATCTGCTGGGACAGGGGGACACAGGCTCAGAACTGGGACTGCCCCGGGTAAGTCGAGCTGTTTAATGTCATACTGTGGAACATTCCCCCAAACGAAAAGTTACACAGTGCAACTTTAGATATAATGATCTTAAATGTGCTTTAGTCAGAATGTGTTTCTTTTTTTTTTACTTTCGACTTCCCGATTCCCCTTTAACTCTGGACTCAGATGGAGCTGTGACCTTCTCCTCTTTTCCGTTTTTCTTTCTCCGAGATCCCGTCGATGACAACATTCCGTCTCCTCGCGTGAACGTTGACAGCGTCTGTTTTGGCATCAGGGAAAACCATTGACTCAGTGCGTTTATAAATGTCCGCTTCATTACATTTTCGCTCCGTCGACGCGGCCGTGCTGGTGGTTTTTAACTCATTAACGTGTTTTTGTGTAAACTCTAAGCTGAATTTAAGTTATTTTAATCCGGTAAACAAGCTGTCCATCATTGCGTTTGTGTTATCAGTCACTGGGGAACGTTTTATTTTGTTGATGAAGCGTGTCCGTAGAGGAGGTCATGGGCGACTTTTTCCAGATCAGGGCGGTAGAGGATGTGTTTCATTTTGCTAATTGTGCGGAGGTGAAGAAAACAGATTGGGTGACTTTTGAATTGAAGGTGGAAGTTGAGGTGAGAGTCAAAAATGATGCTGGAGGTGAGAACGGTGTAGAATTATCAGAATTATTTTTGTTATAATGTCGTTTCCTCATCACAAACAGACCTGGGGTTGTGTTTTGTTTCATTCACATGTTTAACTCACAAACATTTAGGCAGATTTAGTTCTCGTCTCAAACTGAAAACACTGTTCTACCTTGTTTTGTCATGTGCAGGATACAGGAAGTGCTCCACTGTGTTTTTAAACTCCATACATTTGCATTAGAAT